AACCAGAAATCAGCTGGAGGTAGATATAGAAAAAGCCTAAAATTTGGCCATAAAGACTAACAACATTCAAAATAAGTGAAGAATCTTTAACTAATGGAAGTCATAAAATCACCTTGATTCCATATCAGTCATTACTGGTACTTGCTATAATACGTTTTCATCAAAAGGAATACAGTGTGGTACTGTAAGAATAAATAAATGAAAGTCTGAAGTCTGATTCTAACCTAGTGATGATTTGTTTGTACGAAGAGATTAAAGTGTAAAATAAGTGCAGCATGCCATAATGTGGTGTCATTCAACAAAGTGACCTGTAATTACTATTGTGGTCTTTATTTTCCAAGTTGTTTACTTTACATAGTGGAAAGAGCCTGGCATGTTTACATTTTGTAATATCCAACCAGATTTAACAGTGAAGTTTTTTACAAAGTTAGGTGACTTAATGTCAGATAAAACTTCTATAAATGTATTGTCAGTAATCTGGGAAAGTATTATGTGAATAGTAATATTAAAACTAGGCATGCCAGAAAGGTATTTGTATACTGATGTTGTAGGTGACCTGTGATCTTTTGCTATAAAATTAGGAGGATACTCATCTAAATGCTGTCAAATTTTGAGCTTGTTGACCTACTTTCTATAGTTTAATTTTTCTCCCCAAAGAGGTAATACCTGTTGTTTGAAGTTTTTAAGGAGTTGTAATATTTTGTAATAAATGATCTATGTGCAAAAGTTCTTGTATGGTGGTCTTTGAGATCAAAGAAATTGTGCATATAGGCTTAAAAATACCAGGATGTAATGCAAATAAAACTGAAAAAATTTGTATGTGTATTCAATTTAAGTAATCACTATGGAATACTTAAATTGCATGTAAGTTTTTACTTCCATTTTCCACTGACTTCAGAAATTCATGATTATTATTGGAAGCCAGACCTATACTCAATCTGTAACAAAAATAATTAGTTATTTTCCTTTAACAGCCTACTTTCTAAAGGTAGAACAAAAGAATGAGGTCCAAGATCGTGAATTGTGGAAAAAGGTAAAACATTGCTCCTAATATTCCCCAGCAGTTCATGACTACCTCAATGCAATTGCTTTCCAAGCAAGATAGCATACCTTGGGTGAAAAGAAGGGTACTGAATTGGTGGTTTGAGCTCAGGCTCTTCTCAGTTCTGTGAACGTGTTCCGAAATGATTTGGTTGAGGGTTGCTTGTCTGGAATTGGTTTGTATTTCTGCACTAACCTCAATGCCCTACTTCTTCCTTTTCTTTTTTTAAATTTTTTAAAAAAAATTTTGAATTGCAGTGTAATATATTGTCATAGGCTTTCACTGGTCCACATCTTTTGCGTTTAATAGGGAGGAGATGTAGACACCATCCTTCTAAATTGGGCATGTTGTAATTTGTTTTGATTTGCATTACATGCTTACCTCAAGAAATAGGAAAGCTGAGAAACAGGTCTCTTGCTTAGGTCTGACTGTTAAGATAAATTGAACTTAAGTTGGTGGACTGAAAAATATTGCTCTTCAGTGGAAGAGAGAGCTTGTGATACATGTAGCATGAGGAATTTTTAGAAAGTGATCTTTTTAAAAAGAATATTTTGCTACTCCAGTTCATTATGATGGACATGAATTTATACTGAACTTGTTCAGCTTCAGCAAAAGTAGCTGTGCTACAGTACCCCAATCTTTAAAGCATTGGTCTGAAGAACTCTATGTTGTCATGCCTCTTGAGAAGGAGATTCTGAACTCTATGCATTCAACAAACGAGGCAAAGAAACCAAGCTACTGTAGGTGAGCTGTGTGTTGATCAAGCTGTGTGCTTGACTAATGTTTGGTAAGACATGGCACCTGAGAGCAATCGCTACAGAAGGAATTTGCAGAACGTTGAAATGAGCTTGCTAAATGTGGTGTAATCTTTTCCCAGCCTTACCCTTGCCTCTCTACTTCGTCTTTTCCCATCTCCTTATGCAATACGGGTGTTCCCTGCTGTAGGAGTTCTCAACTTGTTCAGTTCTTATACCAGTAGTCATAGATCACCTGTTTCTCACCTAGTGCTTTTCCTGTTCTGTTGCAGTAAGAGAACAAAGCAGAACTGCCTCCCAAAGCACTATCGTGGGGACAGCATTGTAGTTTGACTTGGGATTTCACAGTCCTGAACTTAATCTCTTTCTAGGTTGTACCATCTTGAAAACCTACTGCTAAATCAGACCTCTGAAGTTACATGCCCTTTTTAATATGCCTTATTCTTTTCGACTATACGGTAAAAGAAGAATCCTATTTTATTTGTAACTTTTAATAATTGCTGAAACATGTAATATTCTATAGGGTTGTAGTTGATGCACCTTTGTAGACTTTTTATTTCCTGTTCTCGTTGAGTTCATTGCCCAGAATCACTTCATGATGATAATTGCTGCTAAGCACACATTGTTAATAATGTTACTGCCATGCACTGTATAATGAACTGAAGTTCATTATACAGTAGTGAGAATAACAATGGAGGTCTGTAAATATAGGTTCTGTAAATACTAATGTGTTGACAAAGCCTGCATTTTATCTTATAGCTATTTCAAGATGACATTGCTGACACTACTTTCGTATTATGTTTCCCAAGTAGATAGCATTGGGAAGTACCCAAAGTGAGTTCGCATGTGGCTCAACTATTGCGGACTTTGTGTTCACAGTTGTGTTTTCTCGCATGGAGTTGCCTCAGTGTGGTGCAGGAATGTATAATTAAGGAAACCTAATGAAATGTGCTGTTGACAGAAAAGTATGTTTGGCATCTCAAGTGCTGACCTTCTCTGACATCATTAGACTTCTAAAGTTCAGACACAAAGATGGTAAAGCGGCTTACCTAGGTCTATTAGTTAACGCTCTGACATACTACATTTTTATATTGTGGGGTTTTTTTATGTTTTTTGCACAGCAGTGACAAGTGTTTTCAACTTTCTTATATGTTTGTGGCCACTGTTTGTGATTTATTTGTCATGCTTATTAAGGTTCCCACAGTAGAAGAAAATAATGCTTGTTTATACTAATTTGGAAGATCAAAGCATGGCATAGAAACAATTTATGAACTAACAAACCAAAGCTGCCTCTCAGACACACCTACATTTTGCAGAATTGTTTAAAAAATACATGTTAGTTAATCTTCTAGTTCCTAGAAAAATGTAAATTAATGGAAACAAAGAAGTAAATATATATGGGCGGGTTATTCTCCTAAATGTTAAATCCACATTTCCTTTAAATGGCTTCCATTTCTTGTGAAAGCTTTTCCATAGGTTTTTAATTATTATTCACAATGCCCTTATGTATGTTTATCTATTTCTTCCTGTAAATACTTAAATAATCTATATAAACAAAATTATCCAGGTAGGACTTTGGATTATAACAAAAACAGGTGGTTCTGTCTCAAGTATTCCATCTTTTCTATATATTGCTTATGTTTTACAAAGTGCACGTTTTCATCCCATACCTTCTGTCCCAAGTCAATAAAATAACTTCCCCTGCAGAAATGTAGACTGTTTAATGTTGCGTCATGAAAAAAAATAAACATCTTAAAATATACTTAGCACTTTTCACCATTTGTAATCAAATACAGTAGTTCTTTGTGAACAGTCGGAAGACTGCTGAAGAACAGTTGGAGGAACAGTTTAGACAGGCCTACTAATGTTCTTCCTGTTCACCTGTGCATCTCTGACAAAGCAAATCTAACAACTAATATCCAGCTTTCCAAGTGAATACTGTTTTGCAGTGTATTGATAGTCTCTATGCAAAGTATTCAGTTAAGTATTTAAAGATCACTTTGTTATCCAGTGAGAAATAATTAGTAAAACACTTATTTTACTTAATATTTTGCAAATTTTTCAATACTGTGAATCATCCTTAGGTGTAGCTGTTAAACCTAAGACAAATCTGCATTTCTGCTCTTAGTGAAGAGGCAGCTGTGAAGTGCCTCAGTCTGATCTTTGGCCTTAAAGCTGTGGCTTTTATTTGTGGGATATAGGAAAACAGAGCTCAAGAGTTAGGACTGTATAACGTTAACAGTTTCCTTAGACCTACTCTGTGTTATAATCACTTGGTATTAATAAGTTTAGCTTTCTTTGAATAATGAAGTATACCGGAGTCTGGGTTCTCTGATCAAGTACTGCACTCTATTGCCTGACGTGGCTTTTCAGTAGCATGGTGCTTGAGCATCCGACTGCTCAATAAGCTGAATTTTCTACAGCCTTGACCTCTTGAGTTTTTCCTACTGTTGGTATTCTTAAAGGAAGAGGGGGACAGTTTCTATCTCTAACACTGAATTCACTTGGCCACACCACAGTTTTTGATATACCTGACTGACTCTATATAGTATATAGAATTCCATTTAGTACTAACACTTTATGGCATTTTTCTTGTACTATTAGCATATCCATGCAACATGACAGTTTGTTAGTTGCTTTTGAAACAGTTTTACATGAACCATGATCTTAAAGACAAAAGGCAGCAGAGCTTAGTGCTGATAATAGTGTATTTTAAATTTTGTTGGCCCAAAAAGCTAAGATAACATGGGTTTCCTCCTGTTCCTTTCCATGATGTTACGAATTTTTGATCAGTATATGAGAGCTAAAATAAGGTGGTTCAACATCCTCTCCTCATAAAGTTGTTTTTGAATTCTAAATGAGCAAAATAATTTAGTTTTAAAATGTTTTTAATTGAGGAGAAAGGAGAATATTCATGAATAGAAAAATCTTTGGACTGTTCCGTAGGCATCAGGCAGAAAAATGTTTTACTCCATCTTTGTTTCATCTAGCATTGTCACTGTATCATATTAGTAGAGGTGTAATGATTTGTATAGATGATGGTGAGCAAGGTTCATCTTGGCCTTTAAAGAGAGGAGGCTGCTGATAACAGTTGGCATATATACAATAGAAATGGAACAATGCTTTGAAGTATTTTTTTTTGTGGCACTAGGGTAAATGAAGTATCACGAAAGCAGCTGCATCTCCCATTTTCTTTCTTGCAGGATATCTTGAATAATCTTGATTCATGCGATCTTGAGGATGATGATCTCATGCTTGATGTGGACCTACCTGAGGACCCACCTCATGACAAAGGTTAGTAAATTAGCCAAGCAATCTTATTGTGAAACTGCCTTATGGGCTTAAGAGACTTTTAGTTGTGTTGTTCTGACTTCTGCTTTAATAAGCTGATGGACTTTACAAATTTTTTTCTTTAAGTAGCAACTCTTTCTTTTCTGAAATGTACGAAGTGTGATATTTCTGTTCCTCTGAATACAACTCTTGCATTTGAAGAATTCTAAAGGCAGAATTTTTTTTTTTACAAAAATGCAACCTTGTTGCATACTGCTTCTTTAAATTATTTTAGCAGAATAAATTTCAAACTTTAGTCCTTCAGTCTTATGCTTCAGCTATATCTGAAAATGTTGAGACAACATTTTTTTCAGCTTTGGTGAATGACAATGTAATTCTTTCTGGGATAATTATGTCACCTTCTGCAAAATGGCATTATCTCCTAATACTTTTCATAAAATTCTGGGTAACAGAAGCTTAAATTTTAAAGATGTGCTTTTTCAAGAAGTCTTTTATGCACTCTTGCTGTCAGTGAGAATGCTGGCAAACGTTTCACAGGGAGGGTAGTGGTACCTAGATGCCACTAAAATAATACAACTCCTGACTAGGATGAACTAGGTAAGGCAAATTATTGCTGCACTTTCTCAAATCCTGTCCTGGAGAAGTTTGAGACATTTACTTTAGGTCATTCTTGACCTAGTCATACAAATTTTCACTGTCACATGAATGTGAGTATTGGCTTCTTCTAAGTTCAGGGGAGGCTAATAGATCTTCAAATGAACAGAAACAGTGAATGTGGAGCACTGTAGTGGCCTACCCTGTACAAACTGGAGCTGAAAGAAAAAAGGTTTTGCTTGGTTGGTGTACTGTTTAGCTACCTGCTGAATGTTGGGGAAGTTGGGTTTCTTTGAGAGTTCTTTTGAGTTCTTTGGGTGAAGACTCCTGTGTGTATGTTAGATATGAAACGAAATTAACAGTAAATAAATACATAGTCTTCCATCTACCACAGTGGTGGCACATCATGTTTTAACAGTGTGCACATATGAAGTACAGTACTTAATCTTTTAAATCTCAGAATAAGTTTTCCAAAGTACTTGTGTGAAAAGCACTTATTAACAATAGTGCTAGTATTCAACTTTTCAGCACAGATAGGTGTACAATTTTTATTTTTAATTTTTTTTAATTTTCCAGAATGGATTACAATCTAAGCCTAGGTGATTTCTGACAGTACTAGTGGTTATACACCTAATAAGTATTCTTTCAATAATGGTAATTCTAACCCTGCTCAGAAAAATTAAGAAACATATTTAAAGGGTAAATAAATTTCTCCTAAGTTTCCTTGTTTATAAAACATGCACTGCATCTGCATCAGTAATTCCATTTCAAAATATTAATTTAAAAACTGTTAAAAATACATGCATTTTGAAGATGAATGTTTGCCGCAAAAAAAAAGTGTTTGCCACTTAGTCTAGACATAAATAAAATACGATTTTTACTTCACTGCTTTCTTAATTGCATCAATACAATAACCTTAAAATCTGCTTACACCTCTACAGCTACGTATCAGTAATGTTTGTGTAGCTGGAGTATGTTTTGTGGCTATGACAGTCTGCTGTGTAAGCTGCTGGTTCAGGAGGAAACACTTGCTGTTTGAGGTTAATATTAGCTAATTACCGTTTTTTCTGGTGTTTCTTTAAAAAGTTGGGTTTCCATAGAAAACTAACATGGCATAAACTGGGTATCTCTGCTATAATTCTTTCCTATCTTGAAATCACTGAATTTTTAGCAAAGAGGATCTGAAAGGAAGAGTTCAAAAGTCACCTCCAGGCGAGGAGGAAAAGCTAAATTTGTTCTTTGTGTCTTTACTCAGTGTGGCAGTTCAATTTTTCCAAAGCTGAAAATTATAAAAAAATTACTTATAAACTTATTGAGGGTTTATCTTGAATAGACCTACTTGAATTTTCATGTGTTATGAGCTGTAGAAGGATGCTTCTAAAGGAAAAGAAATATTCTGTTACTTTAGGTGAACGAGTTTTTCTTACCTAATTTTTTAGTTATTGAACTAGGTGATAAAAATTGAGTTGTAGATGTGAGCATTTATGATAATGTTTAACGGCACTTTTGGCCAACGCTTTTTTTCGTAATTTTGTGTGACTTCACTGACGTCAACCTCTTAAGACTTTCCAGGTTTACAGAAACTCCTTGTTTCATTCCGGAGTCTGGGATGCCGCTTGGAACTATTTATAGAAGCAGTTCTAGCTCAACAAGTATGCAGTGAGTGAGGATGGCAGTCTTAAATCACAGGGTAAAACTGGGCTCGCTTCCCAACACCACGCAGGCTGGGAACTAAGCAGGAAGGAAGGCCTGTTTATGAGCGTCTTATGCGCAGCTATGTCCGAGTAGGCTGCCGAAAAAAACAATGTTCTCTTGTGCAGAGCTTTTCTCCTAGCAAAGGGCTGACAATGTGAGGAAAAACTCCTTGGGTAAGTGAAGGAGACAGTGCGATGGCAGAATAGCAGTTTATGACTTTTTTTCCTGGGTCTGCACGGATAGCAGTTGTTTTGGCTTTGTTTCTAGTGGTTTACAAGCTGTTGCCAAATATAACTTTTCTTCCTTTAAGAAGTTTGTGGAATCTGCTTTGCTTTGTTGAAGCTAGTGTTTTAAAGAGATTGTTTTGTTTGCTTGCTTTAAATCGTGCCTACTGTCCAGGTAAATAAAGACGAAATGTCTCTCAAGTTGAAAAACAAACAAAATGAATAGGATGAGATGTATATGTATTTTAAATAATGAAACTGTTCTTTTTTTGGAATGACGTACTGGCCTTCCTCTAAAATGTCGTCTTTTTAAACTTTTTAAAGGCCTGAAGATCCTGTCAGTAAGGAAGACAGGAAAATGTTACTTTTGGATTTATTTTTTCTTACCTATAGCCCTACCTCCTCAAAATGATTTTTCTACTTAAATACAAAATGCTGTTAAGACTGAGTTCTGTAGTTTCTGCCACAGGTTACTATTATTTTTGTAACAAGTTTTATATGCTAGTAAAAATGTCACATCATTAGAGGTGTGTTTGACAGACCTATAAATGCATACTATTTTGAATCAGTTTAAAAAAAAAACCCACAGATTTTACAATTATTTCCATATTTTACCAGCACATAGTAAAATTTTTTTTTTTTTACTTTATGCTCTCTGTAGAGGAATGTGAAAATATGAGCCGTTATGATAGACAAGACAGAAATGCTAGGCAACATCAGGAAGGATTCTGGAAACGAGCACCACAACAGCGATGGAATACACAGGATCACTATCATCTTGGCCATACTGATCGCTATATCCATGGTAAAAATGATTTGAACAGGTAAAGGACTTGTCTCTCTTCTCCCATACAATTAAAAATACTGTGATGAGAAATCTCTTTTGGCACTAAAGGGTCTCAAGTGATACCGAGTACAAGACATTTTCACAATAGTTGTGTCTATAAACAGTTGTGAATCACTGAGTTTTATAATTTCTTTTCAGAACTTTTGTTTGTCACGGTTTTTAATCCAAAAATTTGTTACTTGTGTTCATATGATACTTTAAATGCTTGATTAAATTACTGTATGTGTTGCGTGGAAAAACATTACACTGTTTTATTACTTGCATTTTGTAAGCTTGTACAACTTTTTACTTATTAATTTGTTTTTAAATTAAATTTAATCCTATAGTTCTTACAGGATAGCTTGAATGACAATTTATAGAAATCCTGGTGAGCAAACTGGTTTTAGGGTACTGTAGTTGTTAGACTGTGAGAGATTTGTGCAAGTGGGAAGGAAAGCCTAGCATTTAAGTGAAATAGGATTGACATTTTCTGATTTGTTTTCTGCTGTATGCCACAGTATGTGAATATAACCCATGTTACATGACACTTTCTTTTCTACTAAATGCTCTCTAGCTCTAGTTTGTCATCACTGTGTCTTGTGTTTTGTGTTTTTTGTTTTATTTTTGGTGTGGGTTTTTTTTAGGGGATCAAACTACCTAGAATCTCCTATTGGTCACTTTGAAAGCTATGGAGCACCTAATTTTTACCAGTCTCCTAGACAGCTGGTGGGCTTACCGGACAATACTGTGATGCTTGATGAAATGACACTTCGGCACATGGTCCAAGACTGCACAGCTGTAAAAACCCAGTTATTGAAACTGAAGAGATTACTGCACCAGGTGAGCTGTTTAAATGGAACAAAAGCAGTAAAATGTATTGGAGAGTGAGCCTAGATGGGCTAATGTTCTGCTTGACCTTATTGGGCCGTGTCGTTTCCTTTATACATTGAATTACAGTGTTCAAGAAAGTGTGTGCTGCTTATTGCTATTTAAAATAGTACTTTTTCTGCTTTTTCAGGACTTCACTGACTGCAAAAAATATTAAATATTGTTATTCTTCTTCTCTAAGGAAATAAGGCTAAATTAAAAAAATCAGTGTATGTGAAGACAAGCTTTTATTTAATAAGATCCTAAAAAGCTGGGAGTAAAAAAAAAAATAAATTAAAAAATTGTGAAAATCGATCCCATTGATTAAACTTTCATTCAGCAAGTCAATGGTAATAAAGCTATTTCTTAAGGCTTTGTTTTCCTCATTCTTCTCATCTTTTCTGTGTGTTTTGACAAGAAGCTTAGCAAATCCTCTATTAGAAGTGCTCAAATTTAACCTTTCTAGTGATGAAGTTACTGAATTGAAGCTTTTAAGGAGCTTTTTCATTTCACCTCAAAATTTGGCAAAGTGTGAGAGTTGGTGAACTGCTAGATGACTCAGAAGTGTGGCCTTTCAGCAAAAAAAATTCCTTTGCTACCTTAAAAAAAAAGTCCATGAGACTTTCTTTGGAGGCATATGCAGATTAGCATTGAAAAGTATCTGTATGATGTTCTCTTTAGCGCTAGATTTACTGCTGTTCTTTTCTAACAGGACAATGTAATGGAAATAAGTTTGTGCCCTAAAAGGTAAGACACTAAAACAAAACACAGAAAAACAAAAAGCAAATTAACCTTGAGACTAATTCAAGGGTATGACTGTGCCTTTTAGAAATGTGAGCGTTTGCTCCCTATGGGAACTGAGAATACTGGAGATGTTTTTCCACTGACAAAATCAGAAATACAATTGTAACAAAAATAACGTAGTGTCAGAGGGAAGATGTGTTCTTAGAGCCTCATGTCTGAGTAGTGGACTGCATAAACTGTGCCTCCCAACAGCCTCAATTGTACATGCAATTAGTACATGAGATCTCTGGATAAGAAGTTCCCTGCTCTTTTAATGCCTGGATAATGCCAAGGACAATTAAACAACTAGATAGATGATCTGTGTATGTGTAGTTCATTGTGTAAAGGCATGCATGTTATAGCCAAATAGTGTGTGGCCCTGCAAAACACTGTATTTTAAATCTTGATCTAGTTTATAACAGCTGGACTCTTCTAGGAGGTTACGGAACACAAACCTTGCCTCAAGTAGCTCAGATGAATTTTTTTTTTTTAGAAGACTTAAACTCACAGAAGAACCAGTTACTTCTAATATGTACGTTCTTCAAAGTTTATGGCTTCTCTTGCCAAAAGCTTGATCTTCTCCCCCTCCGTCCCTGTAATAGCGAGTTTTGTAATAACAAGTATTATTGTTCCCTTCAAACTTTGTCAAGCATATTTCTCTGTATTTTCCTGACCTAAACACCCCCTGTTTTGGTGCTCTGCTTCCAAAACTCATCACTGGACTTTGCAATGTTTGTTCTGCTCTCCTGTGTGTTATCCAGCCTTTTAAACAATGTGAATAGTGATGTAAAAGTACATTAATCTGCTACAGAGGGGGAAACTTTAGACCTTTACTACCTTTCTCTACTAAAAAATTAGAGTAAAACTTGTATGAAATATTTTTTCATTATTTTCAAGTGTTAAACCTTTCCTGAAAATATTGAGCATTATGCTAACAGAAATGAGTAAAAATATAGCAATTCTTTTTTTCTTATTGTAAAGAACAGAAATACAATTTTGAAAACAATTCCGTGAGCTTTAGCACAGAACTAGGACTTGATCTCAGTCTGGGTCATATGACAGACCTCTTACAAAATGTTAAAAAGCGAGATGCTAAGTCGGCTCCTTTCAAATACTGGCTTTAGTAAAGGAAGCAGAAGCTTTTAGATTTGCTTCACCTGTATTATACATTTGAAGGTATAAGTGTTACCTTTTTCCAGTTATGACTTTTAGCAATATTATTTAATTTGAATAGGTAGAAATAGAGCTGTAGTCAGGTCTTAGGCATGAGGTCTCACAGGAACAGTTATAGTAAGATAGTAAGATATAGTGATTAAATTCAATTTTATAGCATTATCTAATCAAGTGTAGTGTGACTTACTGTAAAGCGTAGCATGTAATGAATGTATGCCTAGTAGATTCCTAGGGAGACTTAATGTGCTATACTGGATTCATTGGTATGACTGTAGCGCACACAATTTATATTTGGTTATCTTGAATACTACTAGCAACGTAGCTGCAACAGCATGGGTTTGGTGTTGTGTTCCCAGTTTTGCTTGGAAAAATAAAGAGTTATGTGAGTAGTCTAGCCTTTTCTGAGCTCCGTGTGACCAGGGTAACAATGCCAGCAGTACACATGCTGTCTGCTGACTCCTCACATACTGCCATCTTTCTGTATTTTCAAACAGTGAATTTGGGAATAGAAGTGTATCTCATGCATAGTTTTAATTTTCAATGGTAATAAGTATAACCTTCACTGCTTTTGCAATAACGTTATACCAGCTTAAATGGAGTGAAAAATGTATATTCTTCTTGCACTAAATGCAGCTGTAATTATTTACAGGGAGATGTTGAACCACTGGTGAATGTTCTTGCTTAATGCTTAACTGGAGCACTAACTTTGTATTCTGAGAATAAAATGCTTTGGAAGTCTAACTCTAGTAAAAATTGACATCTAAATGTTAATGACTCTTAAACATTGACTAAGGTACTTCATTTGCATGCTTAAGAGTAAATAAGTTTTCCTCTAATCTTAAAAAAAACTTTCTTCCTTCTTCCTCCTCCTCAATTAATTTCTTAAACTTGCTGCTCTAGGTTGAGGCTACAGAGCTAATGTGCTACAACATCCTTATTTAAATGAGAGTTGTACTATTTCTGATGCCCTGAAGCCTTTGATCTAGGCAAGGATTGACCATCCTCTGTAGTAACTTCCTCTCAAGGCTGGCAGCAGTGATTCAAAACCACCCTGTCTTATCTCAGGACTTACTGATATTTTAAGGAGGACTGAAATTTGAAGTGGCTCACAGAACCGTGAGATCTGTGAAGGCCTTTTTTCTGGGGACGGCAAGCTTTCTAAGAAGTTTCTTTTCAACTTGTCTTTCATGAATGGAAAAGAAATTCTATTTTTCAAGCACACGTCTTCATTGTAACTTATCAGATATGACTAGCCCATTTGTATGAAGAGAGAGGAATGAAAAAATGGAGTCCGTGGTGCAGAATTGTTAAATGGAAGTCACTTGCATACCTTTGAAGTATGTATTCATCGTGGCATTTTCTTTTTCCATCTGGTGAGATCTGTCAGAGACATTTATCTTTTTTATAAGAAGCCTGAAGACAAGGAAGATTTAATTAAATACAAAGGTTTCTTTGTGTCATGTATTAAGTTGTATAACTTGTACCTACAATTGTTACTTTTTTTTCTTAGCCACAAAATAGTTCACCTCAGTGACTTAACTATGCATGAAAGAAACAGAACCTAAGAAATCAAGAAACAATAGCAAATAAAATTGGCACATTTTGAGTTTAAGCAGTTGGTTAGCTGTTGGGCTATCATTATAACAGTGTTTGACAGTGGGCAATGGCAACTGGCACTCGTTTGTAGCGGTATTTGAATGAAACTACACTCAAAATGCCCAGTAGTCAGCAGGTAAATAGCACGCACTGTAGCATTTTTCAAGTTTATCAAGGTTTATTAAAGAAATGTTTCTAAACTTCTTCATGAACATTAGATGCTGGAATGTTGAAAGAATTCTCAAGATGAAATTATTAGTATACTATTAGGAGTACAGTCTTTTAAAATCCTGCATGTTAAAAGGCAGCTTATGCTGTTGGGGAATCACAAGATAATGGCTGAAAATGCATTTGCTTCTAAAGGGTTGATTTTTGTAATAGAAGAATTTAAAATAAGTTAGTATAATGAAAACAACAATTGTCTCTAAGCTTTGAGCTCTTTATCTTCCTCTGAGGCAATATGGGAATTTTCTGAGAGAGAATACCCTTTATCGTGTCTCTCTTATTCTTCAAGAAGTTCTACAATTTTTCCTTATTTTACTTGTGCTTTTAACTAAAGCCTGTACGTAATATCACCCAAAGAAAGCAGGGGAAAAGGGAAGATGGAAAGGTTAGGCAGTGAGAACAACTGACTGTCTGTACACTGTGTAGAAGGCGCATGTTTATAACATTGAAATAATTTGCAGGGACTATTGTGATGTATTTAGTCAAAGAGCTTGAGTTTTCTTTTGCTTGTTTTTTTTTTTATTTTTAAAATAGCGGCACATAATATGAGAACGTGTAACTGCTGAGAGGATGGGAGCAAATACAAGCAGATGTGGCATTTTTGAGCTGCTGAACTGTTTACAAGCAGAAATACTGCAGTGCTGAAAGCCCAGCAATCTATAGTAGGTAAACTGCTGCTGTGTATAATCAGCACAGTAGGTTAGAAAGGCAGTGAGGTTTTATTAGGCTGTTCTTGACTAAATACTTGTGTTTGATACAGATTATTATTTATGAAGAAGTGCCACTAAATAAAAATGTTTAATATTCTGTTTACCAAAAAAAGTAAGTCCATTCTTCGTGGCTTTATAAGGTGAAGCAAGCACAGGGATTTGTGTGTCATTCATACTAAAGATTTCACGCTTGTAAAATATTGGCATGAGAGTGTATTAAGTACAGCCACTCAAAAATACAGGTTTCAATTTGCAGCTGTTAATATTTGGGCAAATTGTGGTGTACCTGTGACAGCCATGGTGGAGCATTATTCCCATAATCTTTAGCTCATGTTCTTGAGATAAATTAAAAATGACAGTTGCAGACTTGAGAATATAAGAAAATGCTTGAGTTTAGACTGTGACATTTGGGAGTAGGTATGTAAAAATGTTTGACATGTAGAAAATTATTTGTCCAGAGATGTAGGGTGCATGACGATGTTAACACTCGGAAGAAAGGATTGTTACATATTTTACCTACATGTACACTTAAAAATGGTATCTGTAACTCTGACTGAGTTTGTCCTAAAGCAATAAAATCAACTGGTTTGTATAAAATTAAGATGGTATTAATTTTCTCAGCAGATACCTTTTGAAAAGGAAAATGAAGCTGAACTAATATTAGGCTGCTTTAATAGTAAAGCTTTAGACTTTCCCCTGGATTTGGTGTATAGGCACTATGCTGATAAATGCTAAAATGTTGTTAGAGAGGTGGTGAATTATATCTCTTCACACTTCATAAAGTTAGTGTAAAGTTTTTTTCAGAGCAACCTTTTAGTCTTTGAGTATTCTAAAAGTGTTTGAAGGGAATTTGTGTGGGGGTGTTTCTCCACCACAACCACCTGTTCCATTTATATAGCTATTAGTAAATTTAGGATAAATTTCTGAGTCTTGCTGGACTATTTTCTAATGGTTTCTGACTCCAGGTTTGCTGTGATTTTATAAGCCACTTTAAAACATATATTGAGACGTGTGATTACCTCAGTTGATTGGATAGGAACCACCCAAAACTGGCCAAAAGCTGAAGAGTAGGCTATTAAGTCCAGCAGAAACTTTCCAGTAAATGTCATTGAGTTGAAAATCACTGTAGACAGGTAGCAATTCAAATGGGTTGCTGATACAGCAACAAGAAAAGGGCTGTGAAATCAGTTACTGCCATATTACTTGACTTTTTCTTAAAAGAGCATATTCTTGATTAAACATTGCATGCAAATGTAGATATATATGAATTCATATCAGGTTAAAGTAATAATCAATCTATAACTGAAGACTGTCCGTACATAACTAATTAAATGTGAATGTCTGCAATGTTAGTTCTCTGTCAGTGTACACACTGCAGGTTATTTTCATGCCTAAACTGCCAGTAATGTTTAAAAATAACTGTACTAGGTTTGCCAGAATGTATGAGGTTTGAGTTGTTTGTAGCTACTTCCTAAACTTAAAACATTGCAACAAATATCAACAGGTGTTGGGTTTTTTTTTTCCTTCTCATGTTGGTGTTTTTCAAAAGCAATCTTCTTCTAAGGGAATTAGATTAAAATATTTTCTTGCTGCTTATGTTTGTAAGTAGAACTGCTTTTTAAATGCATTTGATAAGCATTTGTTTTTGATATGGCTAGCAAACTGTCCTGAGTTCTTGTTTTTGTGAGTATCTTTTAAGTCTAGCACAAATGAGGCTAGTGCAACTGCTCTGAAGATGTGATTATACTATAATAATGTATTTTACTATTGTAAAAATGTTAGTCAGGTAAAAACCAAGAGGTAGCAGCTTTTTATATTGCCTGTTGCAATGGGATGACACATTTATAAAGTTTAATTTTACCTAAAGGTTAAAAGTATATGGTCTCTTCAAGTTTCTGAAATTTGATGACATCTTAGCATATAATTTCTAGGCTATCAAAAATAGCATATGCAGATAACCAGTTGCATTTGTTATGCTAATTCTTTTGTCTCTTTGCTAATTCTAGTATCTTTTTTGTACATGGACAGCCTTATTCTGATTTTTCCCCTCCCCCGTCTCATTTTAGCAATATGAAAAGCAGGAAAGAAAAAGCAAAATAGGAAAAGCTTTAGATTAATCCCAGGATATGTTCAGAATGGGATGCTTAAGTTTCCACTGATAGTGTTAGAACTGAATTTTTTTTTTCAGTTGTCCTGTGTTCATTATGTGTATTAAGATAATTAAGACAGTGATAAGGGAATTGATGCAAATGAACTTAGTTCTTGCTTTGCTAGTGAATATTCATCAGGTATAGCATAGGGTACTTGATTTAAATCACCAGAGAATATCTGACTCACTTTCTTTGCAATCAGGTCTTAATCTGCTGTTGTAGAATGTTCTATTGCTCCACTTGTATGCGTTTTAATGGGTAATAAAAGGTATACCAGAGGTATCAGTGATACAGCTTTTAAAAGCCATGCAAGATACTTTTGCTTGAAATAGTTTGTCCTGTTCTGTATTTTTTCCATTCCCACGATTACTCCTTCACAACTATCACTGTGACAATCTGGTGCAGCTTTTCTGCTGAATATGTGTATTTGTTTGAATAGTTGTTTAAAATAACAAATGTTGATGAAAACTGTTAATTGTAGAATACAAGATAACTATAAAATATATAAAATATAATATGTTAATCTGTAAATGATTCTATGATTCTAACTGCTGCTCATTTCCTCTCCCATTTTAGAAATGTTTTGGATTATATAATGTTTGTTTCTTTATGATATTATGGTGCAAATTATTTCAAAATGCTGTTAGAACTTGTTCATAACATAGACTGTAAACTACTGCTTCATCAGCCTGTCACTTGCTGGCTATCTGCCCAGAAGGGACAAGCAGCTACTTGTGAATCGGGTACAACTGTGTGTTGGACAGTGGAAGCTGAAATATTTGCTATGTTAAGGAGTCAGAAGCGTTGAAATTTGACTGCTCTCACAATTACTAGTCTTAAAAAAAATTACATCTGAGTGATGGAACTTCAAATTTAACTGTCTGTATTATAGTAAAGCAATTTGGAATTGTATGAAAGCTCTTTAAGTCTGGTGATGGTTGTGTGTATTTTGGCTGCAAGGAATCGGTGACTGTAGGAAAAATTAAAAATATAATTGTTACAAGTTCATCCATTTTAATATTTTTGCTTTTTTCATCTGGACAATCTCCTTGATGTTTCTCTGCAGTTTAGTTTAAAATTTATAAGAAATACTCCTTACGGATTAAAAGCAAAAAGATACCTCACAGGCATAAAGAACATAAATAGGTCTACTGTGGGTTTTTCCCTTAGTAGATCTCTGGCATTTGAGCTGCACTTTTACTCTTGTGGTTTTGGAGAGTTGCTGGCTCAGCCTCAGAGTGGTTTTACACAGGTGTTGAGGCATGATGCTGTAATATTCTACAAATGCAATCTTAGGCAGTGAGTTCATTGGGTAAAGAAACTCTGCTTTAAGAACTGTAAAAAATAAAGGAGTCTACTGTAAGGTAGAAGATTTGTTTGTTTTTTCTTTAAGAAGGTAGCAAATGGAGGAGATGGATGTAAGGGCGGGGCAGGGAATAAATCTTTTTACACCAAGGAAATGGAGATTATGATCTTCCATGACCATAAAATAACTGTACTGTGATTTTGTGTGGCACTAAGATTGGATGCGACATCACGGTAGGAAGCTGAGAACCTCTCACCGGAATACAGTGTTGGTTGTTCGGTGACTCGGCTCTGTAACCTAATGGAACCTGGGCAGGGCGCAGCGCCGTGGGTTTAGAGTACTGCACGTAATGGCTGCGTGGTGTTTTTGTCACAAGAGTGTAAGTGCTTCAGGACATACCTAGGCAATCACATTTTGGCATTTCTGATGGTTGCTTCTGTTTCTACTTGCTTAATTTCAGATTTCATGGCTGTCATGTCATGGTGGGGAAGGAATACTTCTGTGTGGTTCCGGTTTTTATGATTGATATTTAGTTCTGACGGCTGTGAATTAATTTTGTATTACTCTGCCCAGTAGCAAATGATGCTTTTTTTTTTAGTTAAGAATTCCTAGTTGAAATATTTTGGCTATATATTTTGATATTGCTCAGATATATTATTTGAATGGATACTGAAGGAAATGAAGCTTTTAAAACCACATAGCATCACCATTCCTTCCTGATTTGAACACAAGGGCCAGTTTTTACCAGATTTTTGTGCAAAATCGACACACTTTGACATAGCTGCAGCTGTCCTACAGCTTTCTGAGGAGAGGGAGGCTGTTTGTGGCTGTTATTTGTGCACTGTACACAGGCTTCAGCAAGGGAGGCTTTCCTATCAGGGGAAAAAAAAGAAAATTTTACAGTGAGAGAACTCAGACATTGTAACAGGTTCCACAGAGAGGTGATGTGTCTCCATCCTTGAAATCAAGTTGCAAGGGAATTGTTTCAGCAAGTAATTCGAGCTGTTGTTCTTGGTTTTGTTCTCTGATAGTGTGATGAAAATGTGTCGCTCCAGGACATCCCACTCTCAGTTCCATCAAGTCCAGAACCGCAAGAACTTGCATCAACATTTAAGGTAAATGACACTGATTTACTCTACAGAATAAGAGATACAAAACTATGTTTAAAAAAGCGGAACCCAAAACCTTCTGTCACTGTGAAGTAGTGCTTCTTGCTGCTTCTGTTTAAATGCAAGCCTAGCAAATGTTTATATACTTCATCTTTTCAGTTTTGTTAAAATCAAAGGGTTTATTTGACCTTGTAAAATACATACTTACAACTGCTAGCACAGTTTAAATAATTAAAATAACTTTGCTTTTTGGTATTTGTATCAGCCATGTGGGAATTAACAGCTGTAGAGTAACTTCTTTCAACAATTTTCTGCCTGCTTTATGAGTGTTAGAATTTGAAAAGACAATTTTTGCTTTGAAGTGTAATCCTACCACCCTTATTCTATTACTTGCTCTGTTTCATTACATTTATTGTTGACTTCAGTTTATTTAAAGTATCTTTCATCTAAAGTAAGTTTTCCCTGAGATAATGCAGGTATTACAGATGTAACTTAAAAACAACTGGAACCCCACAAAGTCAAAGATGAGTTTATTGTTTTAGAATGGGTATTAAAGGAAGAAGCAGTCACAATGGGTATTCCAAAAAGAATCATCTTTTATGATCACAGACTGGTAATGTTGTGCTTTCTACTGTGGTAAGGTTTTTATAGCATTGCTTGAGGCTCTTATTGTAAAATCAGTATAGAAAGATCACTAATCTTGCACTTACAGGAGGGGAACCATACCTGCTGAAGATATAATGAAATTAGAAATACGTCTTGAAAGGGAAGAACACTTACAATGTTATTCCTGTTGGAAGGTCATCTGTCCAAATCTGGTTTCAGGGTTTAAGAGGTTTGCCAAAGCTGTAGATCCATATGCACCATCCTTTAGCAACCCTGATTTCTACGTTGTTAACATTCAAGCCTTTAATTGTTGTCTGATATTTGTTGTGCTCTTCCTTCTACAGTCATCTCCCTCAAAATCTTAGAATCTTAGTCTTAATGCCTAGAGGAAAGAGTAATGCTTTTTAACTTCATAACAAAAAAATGCTAGGTTTAACTGGCTTTTTGAATTGCCAGTTCTTTAATTGATACCAGCATATAGTTTAAAAAATTGCACAACAAATCAGTTTGAGCATTAAAATTACCTTGGGATGAAAAATTATTTTTAAAAAATGCACTCTTGCATATTTACCAATTTTTCTAGTCTCTGAACTCATAATTATTTTAAGTCTTCAGCTTTTAGTAGGATATATTCAAATCAGTTGTGCTGTTGCATTCAGTAAATGTAGTTATACTTATGTTTCTAAATATTTTTTTCTTGTTTCTATCTATGTTAATGGTTTTTAAATAGCAGTTCACTTAATCTTTAAGCTTCAGTATTTTTTGTTGGTGGATAAAGAGGAGTATAGGTAGTATTTGACGGCTAACGTCTACATGGTGTCAGTTGCTTGTACAACAGATGAATTACTGCATCAAAAATGCAGCTGATTTACTTACATACCCTGGAAATTTAGTGGGTCAGTTCAACTCTGTCTCTCTTTAAGAGACTTCAGGTCAAGTTTTTTTACTCTTCAGGTTGAATGCCTACAGCCCATCTCACCATGCAAATAAGAGGAGGAAAGCGTGTGCTACTATTACTACCAGTCCTCCATGAACATCTGATGTAATAAGTCCTGTAGAAGTGTCAATTTAGATTGTATAGCCCTTAGAGAAAACCTCTTACTGCCCACTGTTGTATTGCAGATGGACGATCTGCTGAATGAGATCAGGCAGCTTAAAGATGAGCTGAAGAAAAAGGATGAAACAATCCACCAGTTAGAGCATCAACTTGTAAGTGTAATGCTAAATGTTTAAGAAAATCCCAAGTATGCAGAGTGTAACTTCAGTAGGTAATTCTTATGAAGGCTTTAACAGGTCTAGATGTCTAACTTTTTTCCTACATTTCCATTATAACAAAGGTAGATTTGGGTTCTGGTTAGACCCACCTGACTCATGGGTCTATAAAGGTTCAGTTAGCAGATTGATTCTATGTGTTCTAGTGTCTTTGCAGCTGTACACCTGGGATCTCTAATTCCATAGGCCAGTCATGATTTGTATGTGTGGCACTAAGTGAGGATGTTTATACGATTGGTAAATATATTTCAGTTCCAAAACAAACACTTCAAACATAAAATGCTAGAAGCTGTTCAGAAATAACAAAGAGCAAAGACAAGGCACTTTATGCTACAAGTATTGGACCTATCATTCTACTTTAAGTTTTTTTGGTGGGTTTTTTTTCCTCCCTTTCCTTTCCCCTACTGACCATTAGTTTAATAAAGAATTCCACCATAGAACTTAAAGCTGAGCAAGGTAGTATTCAAAGTTGATTCTTTTTTAAAAAACAAAGCACAGCGTGTTGAAGAGTAAGATTAGATTGGCCATAAATAAAAGTTATGGGGGCACTTTTATCATAAATCGTGTTCAGGCAGATGTATAAGTCCTCAGGAAAAAGTAACGTATGCCTTTTTGCTTTTTGCTCTTGTTCTAAGTTAACTTTGGATTTTGCAATGCCTTATCTCTGCATTTGGTTCTGGTAAACTCACCTTGCTATGACAATTCTTGTAAAACAACGCCATGTTTTCAAGCCATTTCAAGCCACAGCAAGATCTTAATGGCAAGGTAGATGAAATGCCAGGAGGTGCACACCATTATTGATTTATCATGGCTGGAGACAGTCTTGTATAACTATAATCTCTAATGAAATATTTAGCACATGTTTTTGTATATATGTACACCGACCTGTGGTCTTCATCATCTCCTTGTCTAACATGTGATCATTCCCTCTAAAACAATAATGAAAGGTTAAGATTTGGCTTTCTGCTCTGCAGCAGAATTCCAGATTGCAGCACACCAAAACAAATTGTCTTATCTATTAGCATTTTGCAAGAAGTGTTGATTTTTCAATATGCTTAGCCTCACTCTTACTGTCAGCCTTCAAAGATTTCTTTAAGGAAGTGTCTCCTTCCCTTGTAGGCCGTAGACCTGATTACAGTAATAACTGTAAACTTCACTGCAGCTAAGGAACTCTGCTGTAAAGATGGGTAAAACTTCTTAATCATTGAAAGGTGACTTAATGCGGTGCTTCAGAACTTTAAGTGAATCAAAAACCCTTTCCAAAAGACAACATTTATGCAAAATTATTTCTAAATATGCTTTGAGAAAAGAAGCAGTTGTGCAGCACTGTAAATACTAGTTCCTACAGTTTAATTGTATTGTGTTATACTGCCAAGGAATGCATGATGTTTGAACACTGGGCCTTGACTTTTGAAAAGCTTAGTTAATTTTCTAACAAATTCTCCTTTCTCTTTCTCTTTCTGGGGATGATTAAGGCCACTAGATGTAACTGCCAGAAAGACAGCCAAAAACCTACCGGGGCAACATGCGTGTACGCTGATAAGTTTACGCAAACCTCCTGGAGGAGGAGTTCTGTGAGTAAAAAGTGCCATTCCTTTTCGGGTATGACTTTCTGCAGTTCATTCCCCAATTCTATTACAGTTCCTCTCATACAAGTTGGCTTTAAGAGGTTCAGTGCTGTATGAGTGGTATCCTTCCTGCAATGAATCCCTTGCATTCATTTGCAACCCTTCTATTTAAACATTTATTATAAAGGTTTCTTTTAAAATAAGTAATTAAACTTTAGAAGTCTCTGCTTGGAATAATCGCCTTCTGCACATTTAAGTTACAGTCAGCCCAAGCTATATATCTAATCATATGTAAGACATTTTCTTATCCCATGACTTTAAAGTCATAGGTATCTGTGTTTCTCTTTTTTTTTTTCCCCCTTTGGTTAAAGTTTTGTTGTTGCTGTGCTCACTTTTCTTGAGGAAAAGCAACAGTGTATTCTTAGTTTCAGTCCATAAGTGTAAAAACGGAAGTTAATCTTAATTTTAGTAATCATTTATTTGAAGAACTCGACTCATACAGAAAATTACTGGGTGAAAAAATCACTTTGACAAAGGACATCTTCATTCCCATATGTTGGTGCATGGATCACATTTGCTGCCATTAAATAAAACTTACATTCTTCATGGAACACTAATAGAATAATTAAGATGGGGGAGGGACAACACATTTGATATTATGATAATAAGGTATTATCTTTGAATGATGAACAAGGCTTTCGTCAGTCATCAGCAAATAGTCTTTGGATCTTGAAGCTACTGGTCTAGCTAGAGAATCCTGAGAGATTTCTTTGAAAGATTAAAAATCAGACTTTTGTTTCTTTGTTTTTACTCTGCCTTCAGTTACTCATTGTAAGATTCCAGTAAAGATAAATCACCCCTGCTCTCCTTCTGAAATTATTCTTTGAAGTATGTAGTGCTAGGATAGAAATACCATGACACTGTATGTTCACCAGTTGCTAGCAAACAGCTTTATCCTGCTGAGACTCTGCTTTCTAACCAGCTGTCTGATAAGAACCCAGTGTAGAGAGATCATAACCTTAAGTAGCTTTTAGTTTGCTCTGACATGTCTGTTCCAGAAAGCATGTGTTTTATGTCTTTTATGTTTATCCCATTTGTTTTTCTTTTCCTGATACTCTGCAGCTTTTGAGCTCTTGTATTGTTTCTTTTTCCCACGTTTTAATTTCCTGCCTGTGATGTTCCCTTGATATTTTCCTGTGTTGATACTATTACTAGGTTAGTGGCTATTGTTTCCATGTTCCTTTTTTCCCCTATTATTTTCCACAGGAATTTAGAAACAGATTAGTAGGTATTGGAAGTTAGTTGGTAACTACAAAAGTTTTAGTTTGAGCAACCTGTGGTATTAATTGAGAAGACAAAGGTGTTAGAGAAGATGGGGAATGTGAGTTGGTATCTCGTGTAAAAGTAGTCAGCCCAGTTGTCTGTTTTGGTCAGATTGAAGTATATGTCTTCTAAGTTACTCAGTAGTTAAAAGATACTTTTTGGCGTGACAAAATTAAGGGAGGATGTAATTTAAAACAAAAAAAAGCACCTCTGCTGTATTCATGGTTGGGTGTATGTTATGGATATTTGTGTACGTTTTCTGTGTAGGCATATACTCATTACATGTGCATTATAAATGTCTCAGTATTTTTACCTTTACATGTAAAGTTTCTCATTAAAATTGATGAAGGAATTAGGAAAATTTGCCAAGTATTGACAAATTTTCAAAATATACTGCTTTTCAGGAGCTTTTATTTGTAAATGATAGCTGAAAAGTTTTGTGTAGCATGGGATTTTCAGTATCTTCTCCTTTGCATATTTGTAAGTGATATGGAGGCTTTCTGTAAGCAAGCAGAAATTGATCTGAGGTCCTTAATGTGGGATTTCTTAACGGAGGAAGGTAGTTCTTGCTGTTGTAGCAGAGTTCCCGTTCTAATGATGAGATCTCAACTTTCTGGTTTAATAGTTCTGCTACCACGTATTTGTGTGCTTCTGTGCATGGCTTAGTAGAAGTGGAAATGCAGAAAAAGCCTTGGCATGAAATCAGTGTTGATCTGGAACCCAATGACATGAAATGTCACTTGCAATAGAAAGGGGAGACAATTGGCTGTTTTCTTGAGGCAGAGTATGATAAATGGAAATAGCAGGAGGCACCTGAGTAAAATGTATTCTCACTAAAAAAGGAAGTCTTAAAGTAATTGTTTTGCTTTATTAACATTCCTCTTCAGTTTAATATAATGAACTTGAACTGAGAGCACAGGCTGTGAGAAATCATATTCATTGGTCCTAAACATGGTATGAATCATGAAATATAGTTAATGTTTATGAAATGAAGTTTTTATATAAAACTAAATTTTTTTGAAAACCGAATTATAATTGAAATCTTGGCAATGAGAGTACAAGTCTTTTGAGGCATATAAGTTTTTTTTGCTTCTTTAAGCTTGTTAATTGTTATCAAAGTTGATGAATATTTAACTGTCTCATTTTCCTCTAACTGTTGACCTGTCAGTCACTTTAAATGATGGTGAATATCAGGAAGTTACTTTAGTTAGATTATCATAACTTTCAAAATTACTCTGACAGTTTACAAATTCTAGCAGAACTGATACTATGTGTTGATTCCTGAAGCATAAATAACAGCCTGGGAACACCCAGTAATGTACTGATTCAAGAAATGAACTTTAAAAGCTTCCAGAAACATGCTTAACAAACATTGTTTAATGTAGTGTTTCATAAAGAATAGATGCTAGAATAAACTAGAAAATAGTGAGAATAGAAATTGGCTATTAAAATATTTCAGCTGGGAATTTAAGACTGTATGAATTGCAGTAATGTATTGCTGTTCTACTGTCCATTTGAAATAACTAGGATTTCTGATCACTTCATCATTCTCCCAGTAAATAGGCAAGTGAATATCATTAAACATATTCTTTTTGGAAAGTCATGTTCCACCCTGGTTCCATGGCCCACCCTGATGTGATTACAAACTTGTCTGGGGTTATTCTCTTTAGGGACCACATAGCTTTTGAAAGTAGTTTTAGGGTTTTTTCCTATTTTAAAGGTAAATATGTACATAAATGGAAGCTATGTAACTTTAGGTTAATCCTTGGAACTTGGTAGCCCATGTAATAAAACCTAGTGGCTGAAAATAATGTTTTGAAAATTTGGCATATTAAGAATTAACCTATTGCCTAGACCCTCTGTCTGCTACATGGTGTTTCTTGTAAGCAGTGTCCTGACAGTATGCTCAAAACTACATTATGTAATTTCTGACTGTTCATATAGACAATGATAACTTAGGGGGAAACATTATTTTTGGTTAGCCACCCTCATGATAGTCTTGTACAAGTATTCACTGACAGGGTAGACCATGACATTCTAGAAGATCTCCTATACTGAATTTACTTCCAGTTAATTTATGCCTATCATTTAACTATCACAGGGAAAAAAACCCAACAAATCAAAACCTGGAAGAAGGTATTGAACATAAAATTACCTGAAGAAGTTAAAGTTGATGGACAAAGCTTACAAAGAAGAAAAATTGCCACAATTGTCTCGCAGGCTTTGCAGCATTGTTTCTGTAATACTAAATACTGACTTTTTTTTTAGAAGATTTTGAGGGTTAAAGGGGCTAGATGTCAAGTTCATGTTGACAAATTATGTGGCTTCTCAAACTGAAAAGGTTGTTTGCAGATGCTGAGAAGTAAAAGACAAGCAAGCAAACTACAAAGCCTGAGTATGGATAGAGATGTCTGTAAAGGATTCTGGTCCTGAAGTCCAGTTCCTTAGCATAACACAACTCCTGCCAGTCCATGTAGGCTTTTCTATGCCCTGCAACAGCAAATAGTGTACAGTAAAAGCTGATTTTTCTCCTTGGTCTCAGAATAGTAAGCAGTGATGAGAATAAGTTTTGCTTCTTAAATGTGTGTACAAATTCATTCCTGTCTGGTAAATTGACAACAAAAAATGCAGTTTGCCTGGGAGCATGCATATTGTTCTTCGCTGCGCCTCTTCTCTGCTTCTGCGCTGAGATACATACTTTGCCTTCCATTTGAGTGTTGTTCCAGTTTGTCATTCCAAAGCCTTTCATGTCAATTGTTTTGATGAACCTTCATAATACTTCGGCTGCCTTCGTGTACTGTTGTCTTTGAGCATCTCCTTCCACCTTAGCCTTAAAGTTTCTGTATGCTTTGACTTGGCAACTATGAATTTAAACTTCCAGGTTTTGAAGCCTAGTTGCTGTGTTAGTGTTTATCTTCACATTCAGCCTGCTTGTCTCTTGTCCAGCACTCTGCTGTTCACTTGCTGATCCATTATAATGTACATTCTTGGTGAGAAAGTACCTTGGCTGGACTAGATAGTTGTGTTACAGTAACAGTGCATAACATGTAGACGCATGCTCAGAAGAGAGGTCCTTTAAACCTTCTACAGGCAATTCTTGTTGGTTTAGTGTAAACCAGCACATAATACTGAGTGTTTTGGGGTTTTTAAGCTGAATAATTTCAAAAAGATAATTGTATGTCAGAACTGCTCATCCATAATCTCTTTCTGGGTGCCAGGCTAGCAAGAGGACATTACTGCAAAAAACACTTCAAGCATCAATGCAAACAAGATATGTCATTCTAGGTTTGTTCATGATGTGGAGCTCTGAGTTTGTATGAGACATCTGGCAATGCTAGGTGAGAGGCAGCAAAAATCATTCCTTCTTGGAAGTGCTCAAAGGCTCCATCTGTATGGATAAAAATGGATCTTGGTTGTATTTGTGTTTCTGCAGCAGAAAAGACTTTAAAGCAGTAGCAGTTTTGAATTATTGGTATATCTTTGGGAAAAGAGCTGGAATATTTGGCTGTTGGCCTTAAATTACTGTGCAGCAATAGCTTAGAAATACTTTTCTTTTCTGGCAAAAGCAATTTCTTTTGTGCTTATTCTAAAGTTGAGGTCTCTTCATAGCAATGGAAATCTCTGGCTTTAATATGCTTGTAGTAACCATTTGGAAAAAAAAACACACACAAAACAAAACAAAAAACCCCAAACAAACAAAAAACAAAAACAACAAAAAAACCCCACACAAAACCAAAAACCACACAACAGGTTTTCCAGTGCAGTTAGGGTCAGGACTTCACAAAACATTTAGCAGCAATTGTACAATTCACAAGGATCTCTGAAGAACACACATTTTGTGCTGGTTTGTAGGCTGCTTTATTTCAGCTGCTCTTGTTTTTCCACTCCTGAGTCTCCTGTTTTGCCTGGTGTTTAAAATTCTGAATCACTTCTCTTCCGGGATGCTTTTGCAGTTTCACAATTACGGTATCTGGGAAATGAGAGGAATGGGATTTAAGTTTAGTGGCTAGATAGACATAACATCTTGGGGGAGGAACTGTTCTGTTGTCTAACATTAAAGTGCAACTGGATAGACTTGCATCAGACTAGGCTTCAGAACCCAGAAGAATCCCATCAAATGTTTGTTGCTTTGTTTTTTGTTTTTTGTTTTTTTTTTTTAATATCAGCTGAGGTAAGTCATGTCCTCATCTTTAAATTCTAGCATTGCTTGCTTTTGAGTTTTATAGACTTTTTAATGATCAAGCATAAAATAAATTGTGATTTAGGTTTTTCTTCTTCCCTATATTTAGCAGGAAACTGCCACATTTTCTGTGTATTTTGAATACGTACCATAATCTGAAGAGCCATGCTTATTAGTGTGCGTTTCTTTTTTTCCTGTTCTTTGGATTTCTTGGGAACCTCAGTGCACATTTGACTAATAGAAGGGGGTCGATGTGGGTTGTTTGTAAGAGAAAGCTTTGTAAAATTGCTGGAGTTCTGTAAAATACTACTAAAAGAAAAGCAATCTTTTCATAAGCCAGGCTTGTTTGCAGATACTTATCTCTTAATGTGCTATATCTACAAGATCGGAACAACCTTTATCTTTTGTAAAAATCGGTGTAATTCATAATACCCATCTTAATAAATTCCCAGTGCTGTATTTCCTGGTCCTTACTTGGTTCAACTGATGTTAATTTTAATCACCTTATTTGATGTACAATTAAAACAATGCTTGTTGTTATTTTTTTAATAAAGAAGAAATCCTACACTTATTTGACATTTGCATGTGTGGAGCAGTGTAAACTTGCAAGACTGCCAGAGGAAGAGCTAGTTCGGGTGGAACTGTGCCTGGAGAGCACTTCAGTTTAGCAGGCAAAACACTGAAGGATGTTACTTGCACTTTCTTCATTTACTTCCCTGGTCAGAGTAATGATTAAATACCATGAAGAATTACTGAGAAAAGTGTACTTAGAGCTGTGCTTTCAAGTGCCAATATGGATGCTTAAAAATTACTGGAATGAATCAAGACATTAAAATGTTTCTTTGCTTTTACAGTAGTATCATAACTGTTATGTAGCTCAGCTGGCTTGTCCTTGTCTCTAATATCCCTTTTTAGAGAGAGGAAAGGAGAGGGTATAAAATTTTCATCTCCCTTCTTCATTTAATGCATTACAAATTTCAAAGAAGCCTGGAAAAAGCCCATTGCCAACTCAAACAAGTCTCTAAGGCAAGACCAATGCCTGATGACACTGTGCTTTTTACTATTTGGAGATTCAGTTACAGTTAGAAAATGGAAAGAATTTTGTTTTTGTTGTTGTTGTTGTTCCACCACCCTGACACAATTTTGAATGAAATGTGAACAAGCCTGAAAAAAATGAAGAGTTCTTTTGTACTGCGCTGTGAAAATCCAAAGCTTTTGTTAATGTCTCATCAATTGCTAATTGCTCCCAGAAATATTCTGTATTTAATATCTACTCAGTTGATGCAACATACTATTATATTGTTTTGTCATATTGCTTGACTGAAGCTAGCACTGTTGTTCTTTCATGCAGCAGCCTACAAACTGTGTTGAAGTTAATGGCTACTGATGGAGAACTGTAAGAACATGTTAGATAATCAGTTCTCTATCTAGAGATAATCAGCTTAAAGAACTTCTTTCATTTTTTCCTATCTCAGCTTCTGAAGAATAAAGAAGACTTGACAGATTTTTTTTTTTTCTCTTTACTTCCTGTTCTAGTTTAAAAGTGAGCTGGCTAGGAAATTCTAAGATTTGACTAAATGCATGTGTTAAGCTATATCTTAGCAGTACTGGAACTGCGAACTAACTAGATGAGGATAACTGGAAGGCCAGGGAAGGGTTTAAAATTCTGCTAGGATAAATAAAAGCTGAATATTTCTTAAAAGAAATAATGCAGTGCTCAACATTCTTTTCAAAGAAGCAGCATGGAAATAGAACACTACTTTGTTGTTTGTCCAGCCCTGGCAGTATAATCTGCCGCAGGTATGCCAGCAGAGAAGCTAGAGACGAGGGGAAAACAGTGTTCCTGTTGTCTTTGATATAGATGTTTGCTCAGATATCTCATGCCTGCTGTCTGAAAGAGTAGCTACAAGTGGTTGCTGTTGATATCTGCTGGTTACTGGTAGCCAGGAGGCAATGGCAGTTGTTACTGTTAGCACTAATATTCCAGAACTCATAAAAGCAGAAGTTTTCAGCTGCTAAATGGTGAAGGGGTTGTAGAGACTTAAACCTGTCTTGCTGAAATAGGAAATCAAGATTATGTGATTCAAGAGGGCAGTTCCAGCTTGGATAGATTTTCTTTAAAGGTAAGGGTATGGAGAAAATGATAGACTGTGTAAAATTACTTTCTTGTATTGAGAATGCAGCAACCACAATGTGTCCGTAGTGATCTGAAGCATCTGGCAGGCAAACCCTGCATGGCATTGGTGTGCACAGTTCTCTGATCCTGTAATGGAAGGCTCAACCACCAAGAGCAAAGTGCGAGGAAAACAGTTATATGTCACGTCTCCTCCTCTTTCACATTTAATACTACTATCAAATAGGAGTGAAGTGGACTCTAAAGCACCAGGATTTGCTAGAAAATCTGTTTCTATGCATTAGAAATTTTTTGTTGTAAACTAAAGCTGACTGGTTTTCCAGTAGATTAGTATTAAGCAACTTACTGCTTATTGAGGCATTTTTAAAAAGCTTTTGAAAGCTGTAAAAAAAAATACAGTTTTTAGCATGTATTTTTAACATGAAAAGCCTATCTCCTATACTTTTCCCTTAAAAACATCTTTAACAGAAATGTGTGCATATATATTGAATAAAAATGGAAGTATTTTGTATGATTTCTGATTAGTTTAGGGCATTATAATGTCGTTTTTCCTCTGGTCTTTAGTAGCATGTAGTGTTTGCTTTTACAAAGTAGAACTGGGCAATATAATGATGCCTTTCTGGGGGAAAAAGAAAAGAATGGTGTGGCTTTTTGGTGTCTTGTTTTTCCCTGTTCTCTTTTTTTATTATACTTCTCCCCCTCTCTCTTTCTGCACAGGGTGGGTATTCTGCTCCCTCCTTCTCTCCCTGGCAGGGCTCATTCCAGGGCATCCCTCGGACTGTTCCACCGCACCGCAGACAGAGTGAGTCTGTACCTCTCACTCATCTCCCTCACCGTGTTCCAGTAGAATCTTCCCCTTTGCACGCACTGTTCATCTCGTAGTTTCCTCCTTTCTCAGGCAGATGTACAGGCGTACACAATAGTCTGTGGCTAACCAAAATGCTTCCTTCAGCCAGTGTATAAGCAGCTACAACTTATAGCTTTATAACAGTTATTAAATGCTGATTTACTTCAGCAGTTCTTCAGGCAAACCTGAGTAGGCCCTTGTTTCTAGTCTTGTCTTAACATAAATCTTGCTTGCTGCATCTTCCCTTTCTTTTTTCATGGCTGTAATATACTATCCTGTTTGTGTATGTGTTCTGTTTGCTCATAAGTCTGTACGCGTGCATATGTGGATGTATTTACATAAATACGTTGTGGATGTACATGAAAATGTTGGTGAGAAAGTGTCGTTTTCATTGGCTGTCACGAGAAGTTTCCTTAACTTTTCAGAATGGCTTCCTTGAAATTAATTTTTTTTTTCCTTGTCTTGGTATTTGTTGTAAAAAGGCTTCTAATACATTGAAATGGCTGTTGCAAAATTTGCATGATTTATTAACATTCCTTATGTGCTAGCTACAATGTGGGCTGATATAAGGTGCATTTGTTCTCTTGGCTTGGATCTGCAAAGCAAAAGACAATTGCTGATTTTAAAACTGTATGCTTACGTAGACATAGAGAAATGGTAAGTCTTATTTTGTGCTTTGGTATTGCATTATAAACAGATAATTGTTCAAAGAAATATAACTAGTTCATAATGCTGAAGTTATATTTTTTAAATGTACTGTAATTTGAGAATTACAGTGTGTTTGACTGCCTAGCAAAGCCCAAGAGTGTATTTGGACAAGAAATAAAGGAAAAAATAAAATTGTGGAAACAAGGCAAGATTACCACGGCCAATGGAGGTCTGAAGCATAAGCTGCATCTTGGAAAACTAAACTTACATATATTTCAGATTGCAATAATCCTAACTTCAACTACAAGGAAAAAAACCTCTTTTGTAAATTGTGTTTCAAATACTCTCTTGATGTTTCTGTGACAATGCTCATTTAAATGACTCATCAGGAATGCACAGCCTGTTTTATAGGCTTTTCTGTATGCAATAGAGGGATGTGCATCATTTTCCTGTGGTGTTTGGTTTGTGTGTGTGTAACAGATGTAGAACCCCTAAAGCTGATCGTCATGACTTCTGTTTCTGGATGGAAGGCCAGCAGTAACACAGCCTGGCTATTTTGGTGTCCTGTCAGCAGAGAGTCTGAGTTTAGATCAGTTTTAGACCCAAAGAGCATATAAACGTCACGGTTTTGGGGCTTACGGATTGGAGAGTCATAATGGGAGCATGATGTCTGAGCTGCCAGATGCGTGCCTCTGGTATCACATCATTGACATTGACTGCTTAACTGAAGAAGAAAGCTTTGCTAATCTCTCACCAGTTCTCTGAGCCCCCCACCTCATTCCTCCACTAATGGCACCAGCTTCTTATTCAGGGGTTCCATAGTGAACTTCTATTGCTAAATAGAAGAATACTCAATACTATTGAGTATACATCCTATATATTCAATTCTGCGAATTACTAGTAAAGGAAATAAAGTAGATGAAAACTGGCCATTAACTAATTAACCTAAACTGTAATTAACCTATTGCTTAGGAAAATAAATATTTCCTATAACCGAGAGTTCCTAGCCTTTTTCTTTAAGTCCTAGGTTTGAGCAAAAGATAAATACTGAGAATAAAATTATAGTATAATTAGGAGGTTTCTTGAACGTTTTTACTGACACTCTTGCAAAATCAATGATTTGTCACTGTGGGAAGAGTCCCATAAGGTAGAACATTACTGCAGTTATCACTAGTATCCTTCTTTCTCCATGTTACCTCTTCCCTTGGTTCAGTGGTTTTAGGGCTGCTGGTTTTTAAGCTAGTACAGAATGCCAAATGTGGGGTTTTGAGGCAGGTGGTGAGCTGGGTATCAAATGGGTAGAATAGGAAAACAGCCTTAAAGTCAGTCTTGATGTTCTTTTGCAACAATACGGAGAAGGTGATGGGAACATGAAGTAGTCTCCGTTTTTGTTTGGCTGTGTGTTCTGTCTGGAGAACTTGGAATTCAAGCACTTCTTCTCTAACTTCTGAATCCTGAATCTAAAATATCACCTGCACTTGTGAATACTGCAGATTTCTTCACTATGTTGTTGATAGCTGATAGATATATAGTTCACTCACTTACAAGCACTGTAGATTATGAGAGTATAAATCTGTAAACTGTTCATATTTACTTGTTTATGTACTGTAATATTTTATTGCTGCTGTACAGGACAGGTAATATATCCCTGCTACATATTACAATACTATCACAATGTTCACAGTTCTTCTGTATTGACACCAGTTTCAATGTTAGCATACGTACTTCTTAACTTGCCCTATGAACTTACCATCTCGCTGCACTTTAACACGTTTTGAAATGGAATGCATGTTTTGCCCTTTTAATGAGAATGAATTTTTAATACTTTAACACTTATTAACTTCATATTGTGTCAACAGCCTTGGAAACAATTCATTTTATATTTCATAAACACTTTCATAATAGTACATTGATTTTTGTCATTTTATGAACAAAATCGAATGTTTCTATTCCTGTAACTCCCATATGTGTCTTGAACTCAACTCTTTTGTAATGGTCCTTTATTTTTCTCTTGGTTATGGGATATAATTTGCGGACACAGCAAACTTTCTTCAGTACAATTTAAAACTTCTGCATTTGTATTCTGGAGCTTTAATGATGCAGCTTTAGTAACAGTGTTTAGAAAACACATTGTCAATGAACCAGTTATGAACTCTTGTAATACAAGAATACTATACCACTTTCTCTAGGCCTTGAGCACCAAGTGCTTCTCCACACAGAAACGCAGGTGAAAACTGTTTTTAGTCAAGCATTGCAGTTGTTCATATCTCTGCTCACTGTGCACTTCATGGAAAAAGTATTTAGGCTTTTTGTATGTAAGCATTACAAATAAAGCCAATGTAGGCAATTCTAGCAGGTGACACGTAGCTTTTTATCACTAGCAATAAAGCTGCTCTATGCGCATTGACTATGAATCAGGTCCAGGCTTTGCTTTTTCAAGCGTGGTTTTTTTTTTTTAAACAAAGGTGCTTTGCTTAATGCTACGGAATGTTTCCAAGCCTTTATTAACTGATTCGAGTTCTTTGTAGGGTGTACAAAGTGTTGGTGTTAGCAGAACAAAGTTGCTTCAGAATAGTATCTTGGAAGTTCTATGACTCATGTTAAGAGAGTGACAAATTATTGAAAATGTCCTGGAATCATTACCTTACTGTCCTTTTTATGTATATATTTTTGCTCTGAGAGATGAGTGTTCAGCTATATGAAGAAATGTCTTTCAAGAAAAACTCCCTTCTCCCAAGTTGAGTAGTTGCAGACTGGACTACAAGAGAATTGCCTCTTGTACCTAACTAAGTATATATTTGTAAACAAAACTTAATTTTACATGTGGTCCTATTTATCTGTTTGCACATATGCCTGTATTTATGGATAAAATGCCTGTCTTGATGTAGTTATATGTTACTTTCAGTAATTTTTCTTTGAGGAAGACAGTATTTTTCTCTAAGCTGGGGTTTGTATACAGACTATGCAGGACAAAAAAAAAGCTATGCCATATTACCAGTTATTTCACTACCCCCATGCTGTGGTGAATGGTTTAAAAAAAAATAAATTAGGGTTGTTTTGTATCATTATTTGAAGTCATAGTCCATACTGTAGAATCCTATTTCACAATGTTGAAATATGGGTATAATATAACTAGCTAAAAGGGAGGGAAAAAAATCTAAAATTAAGGTATTGGCAAATGCTACAGATTCAAGGTATGAAATCTTGATGTTTGCCAGAGGTAGAAAATGAGAGCTTTCCAGTGTAGCCTTTCAGTAAGGCTGTGTCTTGAAATGAAGGCCTGTGAAATGACAGCTTATGCCAAGGCAGTGAGATAAGGGATGTCAGAACTGATCAGAAAATGAAAAACTTCTGTAACAGGGTTTGTGTCCAGCTCTGCCCTCTTGCTCACCCCAAAAGACACCCCCCCAAAAAAAAAGAAACCATGGTAGTTTGGTGTCTCTTCAAGCTCGTGAACGAGTTGCAAGGAAGATAGATTATTAAACAGTATGGGCAAACACAGTCAAAATACGTAATACAGTGTATCTTATGACATTGTTCATTGTTGGATATCTAACATGTATGTGCATGGTTGTAAATATTTTTGATGTATACAGGTGTAATCATACACACAAATTCTAGTTACAGCTCCAAACTGTATTTGAAGTCTAAGAGATTAACTGTGTTAAAAGACATCAAGTTATAAAAGCAAAGATATTCCATGCAAGTCTTGCTATAAATATTTGTACTGTATTACTTAAACACTATTGCTACCTTTGTTTCTGGAAGGTGGATTAAAAACCAATGGGGGACATGGTAATTGCAATTTAAATGGTGAAAAGATGCAGTTCTGTCATGGCAATTGCTCATTGTTTTGTCTTGGTCCTCTGACATCATTGTCCTTGTCTTTTTCTTGTCTCTGCTTTCCCATTATGCCATTGGCAAGGAGTTGAGAAGTTAGTCCATTACTTCTGTGATAAAGCGTGGTACAGTACAACTTCAGATTTCTTCCCATCTCCTCCTCACGCATTTTCACTGTCTTTGGTTTTTTTTTGCCCTATGCATGATGCATGTCTACCAGATGTGCATGCAGTTCTCAGATTTCTCATTGCTTCACTTGCTTCGTTCCTCAAAATACTGCAGGGAGAAAATGCCTTTATTTCCTTCTACAGAGATATTATATAGAGAATTGAGATGGGGACTGAGGTTAGAGATACAGAACAACCAAAACTGAAGGGAATTTTGAAGTAGTGATATTGCAATGAGTATCGCTGTCATGACTACATTGATTTAACTTCTTTATCAGTATAACATACTTGTCTCAGTTTTCCAACATAAAGCTAATACAATCTCAGTGGTTCAATAACTGTGTAGCAGTGGTAATCCTCATCGCGGATATGTTGTCATTTTCCTCTGGATGATGAAACAGCTAGTTTTACTTGAGAGAAATAAGAGAAAAATCTCTTAAGCTAATGTGGTAGGGACTGTAACTTAATTTTGATTGGTGCATCAATACATGCAAGTCTTTGAAGCTCTTGCTGGTACAGAAAAGTCTGTTTCTTTGTGCACATGCTCCTTTTTGCACAACAAAGTGTTTTGTCTAATGTACTTCAAATTTGGGGGGAACTAATTTTCTTCAGTTACATTGTACTTGAAATGTTTTAGAGTCCAACTTCGCATTTTAGGAGCATTCCAAAGGAATGCAGGTGTTTGTCCGATTTAATATTTTCTTTATGGGACAAAAATAGAAGTCTGGTTAGCAGGACAGTCTACACCAATTCGCTGTCTGCCCCACCATGAAATACTATCAAAAGTGCACTCAAAGCAATCAGATGACAAATTCTTTCTTTAACGCGTCCATGAAGTAAAATACTGTGCCTGGAAAGTGGAATGCTTCTTCATCTTTCTATTCCCTCTCCTTCTTGTGATGGAATTCACCAAGTACTAGTCCTTCTGCTGGCTGTTTTTTTGATTAATAACGTGGTCATAATTTTGGAAAACTTTCTTAGTGAAAGGAAAACTTGTGTTTGAAGCAAAGATGTAAGCTGTGGATGAAGATAATGCAGTTTTCAGTGATAGATACCTTGTGAACTCTTACTTGCATATTTTGGAAGTGATGTTTTTCTGCTTTTAGTGTCATCTTGAATGTTAATGCATGTAGCAATTTGAATTAAAATCTGTAACCATGATGATTGGACAGATTTTGACTAAGTAGAAATTCAAAATTAGAAAACAGTACAGTATTTAAAACAACTTAGCAAAGATGATGCTATAGCTTCAGCGTCTTCATAGTTTTGAGCATGTAGCTGTTTTCTCCCTCAGAATTGCAAACTTTCTGGATATTAAGCTGCTTAGACCTTTTAAGGTTAGGAAGAATAATGAGGAAAATTTTTATATGTAAAAATGCAAAATTGTCCAAATGGAAAAGCTCAAAAAATACCAAGTTTTTGTCAAAACTTGAAATAGTATTATTGAAAGCTTACTACTTTGCTGTGTTTCAGAAGGTTTTGTGTTTAACTCAACTTCCTATACAAATCTAGTGTCTTCTGTAACTTACAAATGTTTCAGTTTGCTGATTAGTTTAACTATGACTATTTGATATAAAGTTAGGATTTGTAATGCTTAGTTTAGCTATTTATCTGCATTTTTTTAAGACTGGCATTTAGAAACCCTTTTTAGGTGAGGGGGAAAAAGTTTCCTGACAAATATTTTTACATATTTGAATTTGACACAATACCGTTTGCTATAAATGTACTAATTTTTTACTTCAAGTAGGATTAGAAAATTTGAATTGTATGGGAATCAGATATATAGTGCTTTGGTTTCTGCACTCATTTTTAGCAGTTTTGGTTTTGCTGTTTTGCAGGTGATCTAAATCACTTTGGCTAACATCTGTCTGTCAGCTCCTAAGCTGGAAGGTTAATGACTTCTGTAACCCATTACATAAACACTGAAAAATGACAAAAATATCTGGAGCATTAACTTTTCTCCAGGCTGTAACTTTCTTAATGTATTGAATTATTAATTGTGTTTAGTGCTTCCTTCCTGTAAGATTGCTTGGTTAAGAAGGTTTCACAACCTTAAGCTAGTTTTGATCACGTAAAGAATAACGCTTTGATACTCATTTGACACCATTTTGAAGACTTTTTGCTTTTTTTTTTCCTTCTCCTCCTCCTTCTTTCCAAAACAATTGTATTCAATTCTGTCTATCACTTGCTGATGTCGCTGGTCCAGCTTAAATGTTGCTTTTAACCAGTATATTCTAAAGGGAAAAACTGCTAGTAAATCAAAACTAGATTAAGAAACCTTGATATTTGTCTCATTACCATTAAATTTTTTTCTTAATGAGGAATTTTGAGGATTCAGTTTTCAGTAGTAATCCTACTAGGGAAAAGATGAAAAGCTTAGAATCGTGAGATGTGCTGTCGTCCTAGGTATGTAACAGGACTTTGGCATGCACAGCTATCGTTACATTCTTCCTGCTG